CTTCCTTATTTTTCCTCTTATTCGGTCGCTTTCTTTCTTTTTTTTTTCCTTTTGTATTCACTAGACATCTTCCATCACTCCCTTCTTCTTCTTCTTCTTCTTCTTCTTCTTCTTCTTCTTCTTCTTCTTCTTCTTCTTAACTCGCAAAAAGATTAAAGCTGAAGGAGTCTATCATTTCTTGAAACGACTAAATAGGCCGAGGGAACTTGAAAGCCATTATAAGTTCCAAGGATAAAGTCTCATTGAATGCGAAAATAAATATCGTTACTGAAACACAGGATCAAGAAGGATGGCTTAGAGAATCCAATACTTACATAGCTCATCAAAGCCAAGAGAAGGAGAGGAAAAATTATCTGAACAAATAGATGACGAGGCAAGTACCAGAAAGACCAAGACGTAATCGAACACATATTTCTGAAAACAACAGATGGAAGAGGCGAAATGTCGTGGTCTCCCACGTCATGAAAGCGATATATAAGTGATAAAGACCGATCACGGAAATAATAAAAAACACGACAATGCAGACGAACTAATTAAAACCATTCCGGGAGTAATAATTAACAGCCAGTCGACGAAACCCTTCCTACTTAATGAGTACATTCTACAACAACTACCTTATTTGTGGATTTGCGGCACAATAGAATTCATTAGTATAGTATTCTATTATTTTCGACTAATTTGATCTTCCAAAAATATAGAGGCATTTCATTGTTTAATGAGTTTTCTTTATTGTACTGATATAAACTTGCAATCCTGCTTTTTGCAGCTAATGTACGTACATCAACGGATAATCGACGCAACACAATTCTTCTCACCAAATATTTCATATCTATTATGCTTTAAAACATACTAAGCTAATTTGAGTAGATAGCGTCCATGGTAAGACGATAAACTACATCGGCGTAATGGGTAAGATGATAAACTAAATCCGCGTCCTGGGTAAGATGATGAACTACACCCGCGTCCTGGGTAAGGTGATAAACTACATCCGCGTCCTGGGCAAGATGATAAACTATATCCGGCAGCAAGGCATCTGGTCAGGAAGTTTTGAGGAGCGTGGAACCACCTCTTAACTGCTGATGTTCCCAGATCTATCCTGATCAGGGGTTGAAGCACCTGTTAGGGTCCCTCCTATGGGCAAATAGTTAACACCCACAAAAGGGGTCAAAGCTCTATGAAAGTGTAAATATCGGTTTTAATACCAGCAATACATTTTTGCAAAAAATTTTAACCAGCAATGAAGTTTTGAAAAAAACATTTTGAAAACAAAATATTACCAACAATACATTTTTGAAAACAAAATATTACTATCAATACATTTTTGAATATATATATATATATATATATATATATATATATATATATATATATATATATATATCGAGCAATACATTTTTGAACAAAAATATTACCAACAGTAAAACTTTAGTTGGCATTAAATAAACCATTGATGTTGATATGCCGTAAAGAAAAAAAAACATTGAAATGAATATATATATGAATAAAATCAGAGAGGTATATCTAGAAATAAGGTGTTAGACAATCTTATATTTGGTTACTGACATCAAATTCTATAAGTAGATGAATTTACCGCTGAAAATGTGCGAAGATCATGTTGTCATTTTCTGAATTAAAATCAAATGATATCAGTTATGATATCAGCCTAATCGCATTGAATACTTCGGCTCTCATCCGATCAACCAAATTAAACAGTGTTGAGCCTGGATAGTACTTGAGACCACTTGGGAATACTAGGTGTCGTAAGCTTAAATCGGTTATATAAATCTCATAAGCCCGTGAAGTCAGTTCAACTCAAATCGCCGCTGACTTCCGGTGAAAAGTGCGGTAGATTAGCTTCCCTTAGCCGTTGTTATGGCATTCTGTCTAAGAGAAGAGAAATCTATATAAAAATCATACCGGGATACAAAAACATCTTCTGATCAGTGGTAACCATCTTTGAATTTTTGCCAGGCGATCTAGAAAGGGAACCAGCAGAATCTCGTTGATTCTACAGCACCGATGAGACTAGCACGCCAGCAGAATAACTGGTGTGCTATATACGAGTAGAAGAAAATAAATATGACCCCTATTTTTGGCGAGAACTATATCACGTTAGTGCGCATTATGCCGTTGACGGTGATAAAGGCAGAACTTGTCAGTTACAAGAAGCAGAAGTTTTTACTTAATCTACAACAGCGATAAGAGGCAGAGAAATGAAACTGCAGCTACTTTAGCCACCAAACATGGTTACTATCAGTAGGTAGTTGAATACTACCTGCCAACTTTAGAAGAAATACGAATAAAATACGAAAAATAAACGATAAAGCTAGAATTGCTGTGAGATGTCTCTCGTAAATGAAAAACCTGGAATACCTGAATAGGTAGAAATAGATCTTTTCGAATGGATAAAAAAAAACAACACTGTTTGTCGCTGTGCTATATATTCATATAAAATCTTTGGTGAGGAGTCCTTGAACTGGTTGTAGGTGCAATCGCCCACGTTAAAAAGCCGGAAAAAGTTCATGTATTAGTTTACTGCTTTTGCAGCGATGAAGATAGTAGAAAGCGCTTATACATGAATATATGCACACATTCATACAAGTCTATGAAATACACACAGGCTCGCACGCATACGTATATGTTACACACATATGATTTACACATGCACGCACGCACATATTAGGAGCACAAGACAAACACACACACATATATATATATATATATATATATATATATATATATATATATATATATATATATGCAGAGAACGGGTACAGAGAAGGCGTATATCTTTTTCAGTGTTTTTGTATCTCTTCAGGCCGTTGGCGATCATGCCTCTCCACAATTTTTCTTTTTTTTTTTGTAGCGCCTAGTAAGTTTTGTCTTTTTGTTATCTCTCCGAAACTATGACCTGTCATCCGTTTACTCAAGCTCGTTAGGTAGATAATGTGGTGTTTTCTTCTGTCCCTCCTGCTTTCAATCTCTCTTGTGTGTATCAAACTTTCAAAGCTCTCTTTTCTCAAGATGGGTCGTAACAATTTCAAGTGTCTCTTTCTGATTTTAAGTATAAACGTGCTTTTTCAGTGTGTTTCAGTAAGAGTGCTTTTTCAATTTTTAATGAAACTTTATGGTTGCTCCGATGATCAGCACATATTATCCTCAGCATCCTTCTGCAGAACTACATTTCTGTTGCTTCAATTCTCTTCTTTATCTGTGAGGAGATTGTTCAGAATTCACTGCCATATTGAGAGACTTTTGTATTCTTTTCTTTGTTTCGAATATAGAGGCATATAAAAAGAATGAATTCATACGGAGGCGAGCTGATACACACACGCACATACTCACTCACACACACGCACATACTCACTCACACACACGCACATACTCACTCACACACACAAATGAAATGTTATAGGCAAACATCCATGAGACTTACAAAGGTATAGAGTTACATATAGCGTTTCTCGTATAGATACACACAGACACTCATGAATAGAAAAACTCAGAGAGAAACCCCTCATCATAAAAGAAAACATTTGAGCCTTGACCACCGCTTTACCGGTGGTAGGGGAAAATGACTTAATGCCCAGCCACCGGTTTTATGGTGGTAGAGAAAAATAACTTAATAACCAGCCACTGGTTGAATAGTGGTATAGAAAAATGACTTAATTCTTAGCTACCAGTTGAACGGGGGTGGGGGAAACCCTTGTAACTTGTAACATGACATACCAATTATTTGCGAATTTTGACTCAGGAGATGAAGTAGGAGGGTTACAATTGTTCAGAAACGCAGGGCTGAAAGTGTTAATACACACAGAGTTACGCCACAGGCACTTCCGCCAACCGACGCAGGGCGCTGGTTTACGACGAAACTCAGGAAATGCGAAATCTTTTAATGCTACCTTTTAAAGCGTGAAATTTTTCTTCACTTACTAATCCTTTCTTTTTTCTGGACCTATATGATTATGGCTCTCCACAACTACTGTCTTTTTTATTTCACCATCCCCACTTGTTTTTAATCTCTCATCCGTTCATGTGAACACAACAAATCTGTTATTTGCTATTTCACTCCTGCATCTCTTAACTTCAATAGGACTTGTGGGTGTTAGATTCTACAGAAATTCTTTCCTCATATACCGCGAAATTTCGACTGTCACATTCTGATTGTACCTATAAGTTAAAATAATTTGTGCTTGGTAATTTCGACGAGGTGCAAGCTTGTCTCGTTAGATCATTTACGACTGATTAGTGAATTTGATCCTCAATGGAAGCGCCACACTTTTGGCCTTGTGCCACATCTAAACTAAGCTTATAAATCATTTTTGAGCCCTCGACTTGGTCACATTACATTAACTACGGCTGAGTAGTAATTTTGATTCTCACTGGGCGCTCTATAATTTCTGCCTTGTACCCCATGTAAGCTATGCTTACTATATCACTGAGTACTTCGTCGTTGTGTAATTGTAAGCAAGTTTCTCTAGCTATATTAATTACAACTACATAGTGATTTCGTTCCTCGCTGTGTGTCCCCTACTTTCACCATTAAGTCACATCTAAGCTTGGCTTAGTAAATCACTTCAATAACTTTTAGTTCCTATTTTCTTTCAAAATTCCTCATTTGTCTCGTTTCCCATATCAGGTTATTCTCTTCATAGGGAGAACCACATCTCTGATTCTTCAAGTCGCTTTTACATCTATTAAGAAATTCACAAGTATTGAATACCATATAGGAAATTAGATATTGTATAACATTTCAACAATCCTTTCTTACAGGTGTATGTTTCTGTGCACGTGTGTATGTGCGTTCGCTCACAATTGCTCATATGCCTGCTTAGATGAACATGTAAAAGTTTAATCAGTATCAATACGGATGCACACACTGTAACATATGCACATTTACACCGACGCTTATAGAAATGTGTCTTTGCATATTCACACATTAAAAAATGTCCGGATTCAGAGAATTAAATAGATATGCCTTAGAAATCATCCCACTTTTCTCATATCTGCCCTGAGATATAAAGCAAAGAGATACTGATAAGAACAGATATGAATAAAGGTGGGTCAAAGATTGCGATAGATAGATAAATAGATTCATAGAAACGATTAGACTGTGATAGATAGATAGATAGATAGATAGATAGATAGATAGATAGATAGATATCACTGGAGCACAGAGATCTGATCTTATTTTGATAGATAAGGAACGTAGCTAGTGACAAATCATTGATTTTATTGTTCCATATTATACAAGGGTGAACTACAAAGGAGCTGAAATAAATTAAAAAATACCAGGATCTTGCTAGGGAGTTAAAGAAGTTATGGAAGGTGGCTGTTGAAGTAAAACCTGCAGTAATGGATACCCTTTAAATACCACATTGAAACTTAAACGATCCATTAAGGAAAATTGGAATTGAGTTTAAGAATATCGACCTCGAAAAACCTACCATCATTTAAACTGCGCAGATTCTCTGAAAGTTTATTGAGTTGTGAGCAGTCTTGTTGGTATCATTCGTCAAAAATAGAATATCCACTCATTATAACAATGGATGACACCAATATAATAATAGTCATTATAAAACACATAAACATGCATAAAAAAAGAAAAAGTCTAAAAAACACTCAGGAGAAATTGTAGAAAAATATCTGCATTGCCAATATCCTATGAAAGCAGCCTGGAATATCAGGTGATGTAGACTTGGCTGTTCAGCTGATGTAATGGATAATGGCTCAGAAATGATAATTCCAATTTCAGTAGGTTTCATTATATTCATTTACGCCTAAATAGCTTTCAGAAATGTTCACGTCTTCTCCCTCAGCTATGGGTTAATTAGTAAGACTTGTATCTCTAAAACCATTATGATCTCCAAAACAAATAGAAAAAAATATTTTTTGACTTTAAATATACGGCAAAGACTTGATAAGCCATAGAAAATAAATTAAGCAAATAATCCTATCAGAGTCATCGATCTTATACAGATCAAATTCTTACCCATCGTTGGATGGCAGGCCCTGGTTTCAATCCAGAAAACGAAGAATTTATAATTACTGTCTGGGATCAGTAAATTAAAACTACCAACTTAACGTCCTTGAAATTAACAGCAGGCGTTCTGGCCTTGTATGTGGAGAACATCCAAAGGAAATTGAGCACATACTATCTGGGTTTGACCGACTGGCGCCAACATAATTATTACAACGGCCTGGTAGGGATTCTTAGGACATCCACTTCTCAATATGAAGCAGATTCAACCTCTCCCCTACGTAAAGTGAATAGAGAAACGAGTTTACCATCCTCTGAAAATTAAGCGTTCGAACTAATAGGGAATTTATGCAAATCGAGCGGTCACAATTGTGAAATCTCATATTGAAAACATGTCTTCTGACATTGTAGACCCAGCCGATAAAAGCACAACTTTGAAAACGTTTGAGAAATTATGTAAATACGAGACCACTAGATAAAAAATGAGATATTTCAAAACGAAATTACCTGATATTGGTGCTTTGGGAATGATGTGAAACGGACTAAACCGATGTTGCTCAAATTCCTGTCACTTCAAAGATATAAATTGTAAGAATAAAATACTTAAGGGTTTTCTCATAACTTGCGTAGATTTATCTCCAGACAGTGTGACTCATTTGACTTTTTTTTTCTCTCCGATTTCATGAAAGAAACTTTTTACAGCTTCTGATACAAATAAAAACAAAAGGAAAAGTTATCTTTGCCGACGTGTTTCATTCACTGATGGACTTTATCAAAGCAAATGTAAGGATTTTATTTTGTAACATGTATTTATATAGAACAGCAAAAATATTTTTGGGTTTACAAAATGTTTATCTCCTTATACAAACACTTCTTCTCTCCTGAAGTCTCTGGTTGAGCCTTGGGTGAAACTCGGACGACATAAAGCAAAAGATAAACGCAATGACAACCTCAATAAAAATAACTATATTAATAAAGAATTTAAAGATAAAAAAATTACGAAATCCTTTAGAAATACAGAATCAAATCTATCACCCAATCCAAGGCAGAAAGTAACATGTAATTATTATGAACAAGAAGGAAAAATGCTTCCCCTTTAAGGTAACAGATGTGCAAATCTTAGAGTACTATAAAAGATTCTAAAACGGATTACAGAAAAGCAAAGAAAACAGGAAATTTGAGGAGAGATCAAGAGCATTAAGACAAAACATTGATGAAAAAAGGTAAGATATTAATACTGAGGAGGGTACTAGAAATTTGAATAGACTTTATTTACATCATTCGGACTATTGTCCTCATCTTTATCGCCATATTTATTACAATGTTTAGGCCGTTGTACGGTCATGCTTTCTTCAGGTGGATGGAATGTCGAATTGAACCCTTTATTTCGCTCACTGGGGTAGATTGTTCTAGTTCCACGTGCCATGTTTAATGGATGTCAATTATCAGTTATCTCCTGTTAATTTCCCTCCGCTGCCTTAGCCGGGTATTGAACTCACACTCTTTGGGTCTTGTCACTGGATCTAACTAACGCCTTTATCCACTGTGCCATATTTCCTCAAGATCAAGGTTAAGACAGTGGAGAACTTAGAGAGGGGAATTAACAGGAGGTAACCGACAATTGACAGCCATTAAACATGGCACGTGGAACTAGAACAGTCTACCCCAGTGATTGAAATAAAGGCTTCAGTTCGACATCCCAACCACCTGAAGAAGGCCGGAGCGTACAAAGGCCGAAACGTTGTAATAAATATGGTGACAAAGATGAGGACAATATTCCGAATAATGTAGATAATGTACATAATACCTTATCTCAGAAATATAGACAGATATTGAATAGACTTGTTGTCACTCACTCTCCAATAGTGAGCATCAGTTTCTGCTGGTGAGAAATATAATGAATGCATACATAAGGAAAATAGTATAGAATTTCTAAATCATATTATTATTATTATTATTATTATTATTATTATTATTATTATTATTATTCCCTTGTTTCTGTTCACGTAATAAATAATACAAATAAATAAAAGTTACAAGCTCTGAAAAAAATTAAGAAGGGAAAATGCAAAGGAGACTTTTGCCGGCAATGATTTATAATTCGTTTCGCAACTGGTTTTTGTTTCTTAAATGTAATTTTTAAATTGCGAACGAGTAAAAAAAAATATTCTTTCAAAAACTGGGGGAGAAAAACGAAATGGAAACAACGAAAATAAAATAAAAATGAAAACAAAAAACAAAAAAAAAACTTTCATATTCTTCACTTAATACAAAAAAGGAAATCGCCCCACTTTTGAAAGCGGTGTTATGAATAAATGTAATAAAAGAGAGGGGAAAAAATGAATTTTCAGTAGATAATTCAAATTTAACGATGCAAGCAAAGGTTTGGGCTTTGTTTTCGTTTCAGGAAATATTTTTTTTTTAGGGAAAGAATTGGATCGGAGACGAAGGACAATTTCTCCCGGAAAACACAAAAACGCACGCAAGATCTAAACAAATCAACGAAAAAGACACACAAGCACGCGCACATTAAAAGAAATACGTAAAGAATCTCATATATAGCGAAATCAATAAATATATATAGAGACACAAGCGCTGATGTGTCCAAAAGCACACAATCATAAACATAACTCTTTGAATTAAATAAAGATGTTAATATGAATGTTAATATAAGATGTATCTGTCTGTATTTCTGAGATGAGGTATTATGTACACTATTTACATTATTCGGAGTATTGTCCTCATCTTTGTTGCCTTATTTATTACAACCTTTCGGCTGTTCAGTATCTGTCTATATTTCTGAGATGAGGTATCATGTACACTATTTACATTATTCGGAGTATTGTCCTCATCTTTGTCTTTATTACAACGCTCCGGCCTTCTTCAGGTTGTTGAAATGTCGAACTGAACCCTTTATTTCGCACACAGGGGTAGACTGTTCTAGTTCTACGTGCCATGTTTAATGGATGTCAGTTATCAGTTACCTCCTGTTAATTCCCCTCTCCAAATTCTCCACTGTCTTAACCGGGTATTGAACTCACATTCTTGGGGTCCTGTCACTGGATCTAACTAACGCCTTTAACCATCTGTGTATGAATTTCTGGGTATTATAAACCTAATGCCTCAGCAACCATTTTTACCAGTGCTCATATTGCAATTTTTATGTTATCATCCATGCTTTTACCAGAGCTCATATTGCAATTTTTGTTGTTATTATCTCTTTTCTCTGGCAATCCTTATTACTGGTTCCTATATTGTATTCATTTTTATGCTTGGTCGGCTCAGGAGATTTTTCTGGCCTACCATATGTGCTGATTCCTTAAGTTTACGAATTTTACAATGGTGTTCTTTGTCTATGATCTCAATCTGATACCACAGTGGGTGGTATTCTCCCCTTTTTCTCCATTAGTGGTCAGCTACGCCTGATTTTACAGCTTTCTCGTGTTCTTGAAGCCTTACCTTAAGAGGGCTGCCTGTCTCCCCTTTATATTTCTTTCCGCAGCTGCACGGGATAGCGTACACACAGTCTTTAGTCATATCTTTGTGTATGGAATCTCATTTATACCGAAATCAATTATATATAAATATATATAGACACAAGCGCACATGTGTCCAATAGCATACAATCATAAACACAATATATCAACCCACATAAACAAGTTTAATAGATAAATATAAATAACATGAATTATTGTCTATATATCTCTGAGTAGATATTGTGATTACTTATATTATTTACATTATTCGGACTGTTATCCTAATCTTCATTGCCATATTCACAACGTTTCGGTCGCTGTACGCTCTGACCTTCATCAGGTGATTGGAATTTCGAACCGAACCCTTTATTTCGTCCAACGGAGTTGAAGGAAATAACTGAGACATCTGAAAGAGGCATGGCACGTAGAACTTGAACAATCTACCCCGGTTGACTTAATAAAAGGTTCGGTTCGAAATTCAAATCAACTCTAGGCCGGAGTGTACAACGGCCAAAACGATGTGAATATGACAATAAAGATGAGGATAACAGTCCGAATAATGTAAATAATGTGTGTAACATGAAGAAATCAGAAACTTAAAAAGTATTTTTATTTTATGAGAATAAAATATTTATTTAGCCATATAATTTCATCCCTTGACTTCATCCATATATTTAATATTACCGTAAATCCTCATGTATAATACGCCTTCATCCATAACAAGCATCCCTAAAAGTGTGCTGAAAGTGTGGGAAAAGTCTTCTGCTCATACGCACCCCTTGTTTGGTAAGCAAACTCTATGAATTGAACCTATCCAATTTCATTACGGCTAGCGTTTCCTATTCATATTTAAAAAGAAAATGGTTTTAAAAAGAATAATATTAATCTAATTCCGTTTTTTGATAATTCTTATTTTATTTTACTTTTGTAAGCGTTGTTAGGTACATATGATTGTATCTGACATCCTTATGGGGTCACAATCGCCGAATATTAGAGTTTAATTGTCGTATGTTTGGGGGGAGTCGCAACTGAAATCGACCTATGAAACGGCCATTTGTTAAAGATTTTTATTTTTGTAGCTGTGCTTAATACGCACCCCTAATTTTACTTATTACTTTTTAGAAAAAATGCGTATTATACAGGGGGAATTACGGTATGTAAAATATAATTGATTATTTTCCACACTACAACCCCTTTCTCACAAACGAAAAGTCGCATGCGCCTCGCTATTCCATCGCTGTTTCCATAGAATATGTTACGCTTAACTACATTCCTTAGTGCCACCAGTTCAGACCTTTATAGCTAAGAACTGCCATGTCATGTACGCAAGGACAATCATCCCTCCCCATTCCCTTCGTATCCCATTGGTAAAGAGGAAGTTCCCTTCGAATAAACTCTTCCTGGGTGCCATTACTTCGAGGAGCAGACTCCCAAGAGGAACCTTTCCTGATCACAGCAATTTTAACCTCTTCAAATCTCCGGTCAAGTGCTATTTATCCCATGAGCCCTCATAATGCGCACTTCTTACCGCCTTCTCTTACGTTCATAAAACAACATCATTCAGTAACTCTCTATGTTGAGGGGCTTTTAGGCCTTTTGTAGCGTAAACAATAGTATGAGAAAAGTTCATATAAAAAATACGTGTTAGGTTGCAAAATTACTGATGCAACATCGTAAATACACCTGCATCTATACACACGAATAGAGCCCTTCTTATACAAAAACATACATACGCATATTTAAACATACACATATGCACATATACAAATAATACAAATAATAACAAAACCCACAACACTCAGTGCCGTATGGACACGAACATAAATGCGTCCATCCACAAGCTTACACTGAAATTAGTTAAATACAGACACTCATGGCTATGAATATTAAAAATAAACAACTCCAATCGCTTACACGGACACGCATACGAATATATCCTTACACCTATACACAAGTATACACATTCCCTCATAAAGAGAAGGATATTCAAAAGTCACTCAGTAACCGACTTAAAATTACGGCAATACCGTTCATATTATATACATTTTTTTTTTTTATCAGCAACGAAAAAAAACCAGAATTCTCTATCATAAGGCTATGACTGCACTTATAAACAAACAGATAGATAGATAGATAGATAGATAGATAGATAGATAGATAGATAGATAGTATTTCTCTTTGGTCGCGCAGCTCACAACCAAGAAGCTTCTTAAAGTGAACAGTATGTTTATACATTAAGGCTATGAATATCCTAATAGATAGATAGATAGATAGATAGATAGATAGATAGATAGATAGATAGATTTTCTCTTTAGTCGCGCAGGTCACAACCAAGAAGCCTCTGAAAGTGAAGAGTATGTTCATACAATACAATAGTCCTTCACAATTTGCAAAACTCTCTATTGCCCACTTTGTTGGAAAAAAGAATTTATCAAGACGAAATCGAAATTAATTCGTCCGAAATTAATTCGCCGTTTCGTTTTTTTTTTTTTTTCTCCATTGGGATAATCGTTAGGGACACTCACATCCCGGGCGTGAAAGCCGATAGCCCGACTCACTTCTAGTAAGAGAATCGTTACATCTACTCGCTCATCCATTGGAAGAGACTGATACATACAGTTCGCCGTTCCAGAAGGAGAATCATTCAGCCCACACACTCTTCCCGTGCGTGTTTTGTTCCACTTCAAATTTCCGGTGGTAGAAACATTGTTTCCGGTGGAAAAATTGTTATGTCAACTCGACTTTTTTTTTTCTTCTTTTTTTTTTTTTAATTTTGTCAGAAGAAATATCCTCAATCATACTCTTCCAGTAGGAATATCATTACACAGACACGTACTTCCGGTTGAAGATTCGTTACACACCCATCATTTTTCTAGAGAGACAATTGTTACATTTCCGGTGGATGAAACGTTACACACACTAAACTTCTCATATTATAACTTATTCTAGAATTTATTTTTTTACCTTACACAATATCAAATACTAAATCACTGTATGATAATTTCAAGAATGAAATAAGATGAAATGAACGTTTTATTCAATAATTATTAACTTCTACAAATATTTACAATATATATATATATATATATATATATATATATATATATATATATATATATATATATATATTTTCAGGTCTTTGAATTACTTCCCGCTGTTCGTCTCGAGGTCTTCGACAAAATCCACAGACAGATATGCAACATGTTAGGTCCTGATCTGTCATCTCCTCTGCAGTCACTTCCTCACAGACTTGCTGTAGCTTCCATCTGTCTTTTCTACAAATATTTTCACGGCTCTGCTCTGACGACCTACTTTGGACTGTCATAGCTGAAACTTCTCATTCACGTGCCAAACGTCTTATGACTTTGATCTCTTTAGCTCTAAAGTTGAAGTGATGTTCGTGCTTCCTGTTGTAACCGCTTGATCCAATTTTCCTCTTTTCTGTTCCCTCTTTTTTAAACTTATTCACCGTTCTCTTGGTAGTTCTTGAATGAACTTTGAAGATGGAAGCCAGAGTATGAATGTTGATACCATTACTGAAGGCCTGGATGATATTTTCCTCTCACCATTGCTCAGTTGGGAAGACAGTGGGACTGACACAAAACATTTTTTAACTGAAGAATCAAAGGGTTTTCTCGGTGATTCTTACTTCAAGATCGCTAGAGATGCATAATTATGCTGTTACACGATTTGGCCAATTTTGGAGTTACACTAGGTATATATATATATATATATATATATATATATATATATATATATATATATATACCATCTAACGGTTAGAGGTGATGATAGCCCAGCATATATATATTTTTTTTTTCTAAACCTGTCTTGCCTCCTGCCTTTTCTATTTCACAGACTTTGTCTTCCCATCTTACTCCCCTGAAATTGATATTATTATGAATCGTGAAAGCAAGGCTGATTTCAAGTTTTAAGAACGTGGGCTTGGACAGATACTACACACTGATCCGATTCAAAATAATGTGTAATGATTATATATACAAATGGTCTAGATTATGGTTTTAACTATCTGTAACTCATGTTACATTTCAGGAGATTTTCTTCAGTCTCCTAAAAAGCCAAAAATCTCATATAAACATTTTAATTCTATTCGCTATATTAAAAGCATTCTACATTTTTGGATATCCCCCGCTTAGAAAGATTTCCACCGTTTTTTTCTCTCGATATAAATACTGAAGGATTTCTGACTACATTTCTTCGTTGAAGAATTATTATTTATTTGAGTACATTCTTTCAAATAATATAAATAATTCAAGGAATTATCTTTGTTTTTTATTTTATTTTATTTTCCTTGTTCCCTTCATTTGTTTTAAATCATTAAATCATTCTTTCTTTTTCCTCAAATTCTATTATTTCCTTTATTTCTTATATTCACTCCTGTTTCATTCTCACACTCTTTCTTTCGTGAATAATTTAATTACTTCATTGATTTTTTCAATCATTTATTTTTAGTCACCATTTTCATTAATTATTTTTCGATTAAGAATTTTTATTTCTTCATCAGTTTCCCATGTCTTCCATCTAATATTTCTTCATCCCTTTTATTGATTCACTCATCCTTTCATAATTTCTTCAATCTTCCTAATATTTTATATGCTTTATTTTATTCATTCATTATTCCATTTATTATTATTATTTTCTCATTCATTCAATCACTTATTTGTGTTTCTCTTTCTCATTCATTGTTTTTCTTTCATTTATTATGTCATTCGTTGAGATATTCAGTTTCTATTTCATTGAACATCTATTTCTTTTTAATTTTTCTTTCATATTATCATTTATTTGCTTTTTTCATTTTTTTCGTTCTATTATTTATTCTTTGTTAATTTCTTGTTTTTTTTTCTACAGGTTTTATTTAATTTTTCTTTTTTACTTTCATGTATTCCTTCATTTCATCATTAATTCTTTATTCATTGCATTCTTCTTAATATTTATTCTTTCGTTTAACCGTATTTTTATTTTATTTCATTCATTCTTTTTCCTTTCATTCATTCATTATTTATTTTTCATACATATTTATTCATTTATTTCAGTGTCTTTCTCCTTACTTTTTTGTCTTTTTCTTTCTATTCATCATTTCTTTTTTCTTTCATTCAATGAAAATTCTTTATTTTTCTTTCATCCTTTTTTCTTTTTCCTTTGATTTCATTCGGGATTCTTTCGCTTATTATTTCAATTATTCCATCATTATTTCACTTCATCTCTCCATTGATTTTGATTTCCTGATTTTAATTATTTTATTCATGCCTTTATTCTTTTTCATTCGTTCTTTTTCTCTTTCCTTTATACTTTCTTCTTCTTCTTCTTGTATCGATGCTTTCAATGTCACATTATCTGCTTCTTCCTCTCTCTCATTACTGTTTACTCTCGTCTTCTTCTTGTCTTCCAACGACACTTTTCTCTCCTACTTCTTCCTGTCTTTCATTGTTCTTACTCTCGCAGTCTCTTTACATCTTTTTTTCTTCATTTTTTTCATCGATCATTCCTCTCTCTCTCTCTCTCTCTCTCTCTTTCATTGATTCATTTTCTCACTAATACTTCCTCTCCTTTATTTCTTCTTCTTCCTTAATGACTAATCATTTTCTAATTTGATTTTTCATCTTCAATCACAGCCTCTTCTGAACGATTCATCAATTTATCATCATTTAAAAATGCTCTCTACATTCCCGACTTCGATTCTGTTTGTCGTTCTTCCTCGTTTCGGCAACATACTAATCGGCATCAACATCGAAGCGACATCCATTTAAATAAAGCTTCTCTCATTTCCTTCGTCTTTCTTTTTCTCTTTTTGTTCGTGTTCTTCAACAAATAAACAAAGAAGCTTATACACAAACAAACATAAAAATCATTTTTGGAAAAATCCAGCCAATTTAGATTGTATATCGTTTCTAAACAAATCGTTCTAAACAAAACGAAACGACACAGAAAACGGTTTTTTTTTACTTTCAACCCACGAAGCCTAGAGTGAATTTAAAAAAAAAACTTATACACATCACACAATTATTCGATATTCACTAATAACTTTGCCTTTAAAAACTATTCAAATTAAGAAAAACATTCAGACATAAAAAATATATGTAAATATTCTTATTAGCGTAAGAAAAGACTCCCACGTGTAAGTTTGTGTGCGCTTGTGATTATTAGTGAGATGTGTATGTATATGTAAAAATAAATATTCGTGTGTAGATATAAGTAGGTGATGTAAATATAAGAATTTTATAAGAATACTATATATTCTTTTCTGTTCTTAAATATTTTTAGATATAAACATGAATTCCCATTGTATGGAAAACTATGTAGGCATGTGTCCATATATGCAGGATTCTGTTGAAGAATTTATATACCTATGTACTGAAGCAAACAACCATACCCAGACATGGAAAATAGGCATAAATATGTTCATGGATAACAATACACGCACAAAAACTAACTTAAGTACATATAAAACAAGAACTGAGGCAGATTGCCGATTGGACACACATGTATATCAGTGTACGTGTGTAGTGTGTGAGTACACGTGTTTGCGTTGATTATTTTCTTGGGTTTTGGAGCGAGCAAAGTTATTCTCAGAAGTTTGAAGAAATTATTATAAAAATTGAATTAAAATAAGATTAATGAAAACAAAGTATTGACAAATAAAAAACAAATGTCACCATTCGAGACTGAACACTTTTCTATGCAGTTATTATGTAACAGTAAAATTGTCCGAATTGTGTAACAGCAAAATTGCCCAATTGTTTAATTAAGCACTGAATCATTGTATCTTAGAAATGATTAAAGATATCATACTGTAATTCTCCGACATCTTTATTACAGCATTGGACTCTACTTTGAACAATAAGAATGTATAATTACTCTCCAAGCTTAACTGAAGAATCGTGATGAAATCGATCATGAAAGAAAATGACATGTTCATCATTAATTAATCATAGCTAAAGATCGGAAGCTCATGAAAGATTGAAATAAAGTTCCAATACACACACACACACACATATATATATATATATATATATATATATATATATATATATATTCCAGGATCATTTTACAACTTATTCAAGATGATCTTCGTACTCTCTAACCATCTAACTTTCTATCCTGGAGTTGCAAGGTGCCTCACATATTTCAGGTACGATTTCATTTTCATAACTTTTTTCACTGATCTTTGGACTGTCATAGCTGAAACTCCTGTTTCACGTGCCAAACGTCTTATGAATTTGATCTATTTAGCGCTAAGTTGAAGCGATGCTCGCGCTTCCTGTTGTGACCTCCTGATTCAATTTTCCTCTCTTTTGTTCCCTATTTCTTAAACTTATCCACCGTTCTGTTGGTAGTTCTTGAATGGATATTAAAGATGGAAGCCAGAGTATGAATGTTGATACCATTACTGCTTATTAAACATTTTCTGAGATGCATAATTATGCTGTTACACGATTTGGTCAATTTTGGTGTTACACCCGGTATATATATATATATATATATATATATATATATATATATATATATATATATATACCATCCAACGATTAGAGGTGAGGATCGCCCAGCATGTTCCAGGTAAAGTGCGTAGGCACGAACCAATTACATCCGGGTG